GCGTTGTCTCCGACCACCAGCATCACAGGGCAGCTGGATGGGAGAGGAGGGAAGGGCACAGTGAAAGGGCTTGGCCTGGGTGGGCTCCACTACTCTGGGACACCCCCCCACCCCCAATACTGTGCCAGCACAACTCACCGCAGCGTCTTGGCATTGGGCACAGTCCCAGGCCGGTTGATGTCCAGGTCCCTGCGGCTGATGGAAGAGAAGGAGAGCCAGCGTGAGCCCGTGGCAGCACCCAACAGGGGTCAGGGTGCCCCCAGGGCCACCCGGCGGGCCCTTTTTTTGCTGGCAGAGCTGCCCGAGGCACTCACCTGTTGTACATGTTGAGGAAGAGCTGGAGGTTGAACTGGTTCACCACGCTGCCAATCTGCTGCCGGTAACTCTGCACCAGCTCCGTGTTGTTCACCAGCTCTTCCTGTGCCAGCAGGGGACGGAGATCAGGGCGGATGCTGCCAGGTGCCACAGACACCCCGCTCCCCCAGGCACGCCCATGCCATGCTGGCCAGAGGGGCAGAGGAGGAGGGGGCTGGGCAATGTGACTGGGCATGAGCAGGACGTGGGCACAAGTTGCACCCTGGTCAAGGCTAAGCCCTGGATCAGGCAGGAGGGGTGCAGGCAGGGCTTGCCTAACCCCATCCCCAGGCAGGGGACAGGTGCAGGGGACAGGTGTGGTGGCACAGTGGCACCGGGGAGGCAGGGCAGGCACAGCCTAGGTGAGCCAGTGGGAATGCTGGGGGCAGTGGCGGGGGCTGGCAGGGTGTGCAGACTTTACCTGGCTGAAGAGGTGTGACAGGACAGTGTCTGGCAGCGTGCTGGTGAGGCCGGAGAGCTGTGGAGGGAGCACAGAGAGTTACAGCACTGCTGAGGCTTGCAAAGGCCAGGAGGGGTGGGGGGGAAGGCCCTACCCACCTTGGCAGCTGCCCAGTCAATCCAGCCTTTGCCATTGGGGTCGATGTTCATGAGGACCAGTCCTTCAACCAGGTCAGGGAAGATGAGCTGCAGTGAGCAAGAGGGGCGATGCTCAGCAGGGAGGGGAGGTGTGCCCAGGGCAGCCCCCACCAGCACCGCTGCCTGCTGCACAGCACTGCACGAGGCTGAGTGATGGGAGACCTGTGGCAAGACTGCTTGGCCACCGTGGCTATGGCGTGGCCATTGTGGCCGTGGCGCTGCCATCCCGGCTGTGCTGGCCCTTCAAAGGACTTCACAGCACGTCAGCTCCTGCTCTTCCCTGTGCCCCATGCTCACAGCAGGCACAACAGGCAACTCAGGGCCAGCCCATCCCAGCCCCAGGCTCACCGCAAACTTGGCCAGCACGTAGGCTCCTGCCCCAACACCAATCCCGATCACGTACTTGAACCTGGAAAGCAGAGGTGGGTATGGGGAGGAGAGCTGGCTCCAGCACGGCTGCCCTGGGGCACCTCTCGACCCGTGGCATGGAGCACAAGAAGACGTGCAGGGTGGTGGCTTACAGGGACAACCCCCCCAGCCCCAAACCCTCTCCTGCTGCCCATCTCCCTGCCCAGCACCCTCAGCCGGCAGGCGTGGAGGAGAGGCTGACTCACCCAAAATGCTGCACCACGCTGGGGAGCATGGCAGCCAGCTGGTCCATAGAGGGGTACTGATACCTGCAGCACAGGAAGACACAGGACAGGGGCTGTAGGATCCACACAGTGAGATGGCTGGAACAGGGCAGCTGGGCTGCCCAAAGTGGGCAGGGCAATGCCACCCACCTGCAAACCACCCCATTGCCCACCCTGGAGCAGTCAGCTGCCACAGGCTTTGGCATGTTTTGGAGACACTCACAGGCAGGGCACGACTGCCCAGTGGGCAGGGAGGTGACATCCCAGCAGGCACAGCAAAGCCCCAAAGCTGGCACCTACCCCTGAGGGAACTGCGAGGCTCCTGCCTGCTGGCCTGGTGCATCCACGTGGCACACCACAAAGTGCTTCGTGATCTCCTGCATGTCCTCATAGTTGAAGAAGGTGTTGAAGCAAAGCTTGTCTGTCAAAGGGGAGGCAGGGATCAGAGACCAAACTCCCCAGCACAGAGGCCTGGTGGGCAAGGGGAGCATGGAGAGAGGTCACCTGCCCTCCCACTGCCCTTCAACTGGGAGGTGACATGCCATCAAAGCTCTCCCAGCCCCTTCCCTCCCAGCTCTTCATACCCCTAACAGAGACCACAACCTCTGTTAGCAGGGGCTGCAACCCTACTGGTTTTGGGAGGCATGGGGATGGACAGCCAGGAGGATGAGGAGTTTGGAGTGAGCCTTGTCTGCTTGTACGGATATGACGGGGGGATGCAAAGCCCAGAGCCGCAGGAGTCCCTGCAGGCACTGGGATTAACAGCCCAGGATATTATCAGCCCTATACAAAATCCCCAGAAAGGGCTCAAGCAAACATGGGATTTGAGAAATGGCTGAGAATCTCCCTGCTTGGGAACAGTCAAAGAAAGAACCTCAGCACTGCTGCAGACGGGCCAGCACTGTTGCAGCAAGATAGAGCCATCACCAGGGCTGGGACACCCCTCCCAAAACATGGGGGAGTGGCAGGTTGTAAAGTCCATCACAACCAAAAGGATGCATCCCTGGACATGAGAGTGCTGCTGTGCTGGTGAGGCAGCTCATGGAGCACGTCGGTCACGGTGGAGGGGGAGACCCTTCCCCCTGCTCCCAGGGCACCGGGCATCCTGGCCCAGCCCAGGGGCACGGCTCTGGGGCGCGGGTCCAAGGCTAACAGTGAGTGCAGCACCCACATATCCAGAGCCCCACCTCAGGGTCCCCCCTCCCCTGCCCACTGGGGTCAGGTCCGTGCTCTGAGCACCAACAGGCCGGTGGCAGCAGTAGGGACCGACTCAACATCCCCCACGCCCTGTCCTTGCCTGGCACGGGCAGGAGGAGAGCCAGCACCAGGTGCCCAGGCTCTCCTGGCTGTGCCGAGCCTGCGCTTCGGCTTCAGCAGAGCATCCAAACCCTCCTGACTCTGCCCAACGCCCGGGGAGACCCGGTGCAGCCCGGGGACCCCCATGGCAGGGGCCAAAGGAGCAGAGCCAGGGTCTTGGGCCGACGTCCCAGCACCCTGTGCAGCCCCACGGCCCCGGGACCAGCACTCACGGTTGAGGCCCACGTCGTGGTAGGTCAGGATGGCCGGGCGGTTCCCCTTGGGAGAGCCACGGAGCACCACGTGCAGCAGCCCGTACGGGGTCTCGATGTCGTGTTCCTGAGGGGGGAGGAGAGATGGGGTGACACCTGCCTGCCCCAAGACATCCTCTCCTGCCCTGTCATCCCACCCCTCGCTGTGGCTTTCCAGGGCAGCTGGGTCCCTAAGAGGAGTGGGATCATATACCTAGGAAAATCTGCAGGATGGGAAGGGAAGGACTTGAAATAGCATAATAGGATTTAGGATTTGACTGGTATATGGTGAGATGGAATCATAGGATGGTATCTAGGGATAGAAGGATGGGATGATTGTAGAGGACTTGGGGAGGACAGGACAGGACAGGTGGACCACAGGATGGGACAGGAGATCTTCAAGAGCCTGAGACTGAGGGAGTTTTGGCACCAGGGTATGGGATCACAGCATGGCCCAGTTGGCCTGGATTAAACAGGGAGAGTTCAGACCCTGGACACAAACCCTGGGAAATGCTGCAGCCTGATCTCAAAATGACAGCTCAAGTAACTTTAAAAACCCTTATCTGAAATGGCTGTGCCCCCATACAGAGACCAGGACTGTCCCACAGTTTCCCTGCCTGGGAGGGCTCCAGTCTTGCCGTCATGACCATTGTCCCCAGCCAGCAAGGGAAATGAAGACTGGGAGTCCAGGTGCTGACCAGGGCATTGCCTGGGGACAAGGGACCAGGGGTCCTCTCCAGATGCCCATGCCTGCATGCTAGCCCACTGGCAGTGACTTCAAACCTGGGATCTGGTGGGTGCAGGGGTATCATGTGCCGAGCAGGGCTGGGCAGGGTGTGCTGGCAGGGTGCCAAACCAGCACGATCCTTACTGCAGGTCCTGGCACCCCATGGATGGGCTGGTGGGAGTGGAGCAGGTATGTGGGTGCTCCCGTGGGTGACACACCACCAAGGACTCTGAAGGGCACAGGCCTCAGGTGGGAGGAACCACCTCGAGGACAGGATCTCCTCACTGCAGTGCCTCCCCTCACCAAGCTCCGCTGTCCCCAGGAGGACACAGCGCCCGAGGCTCAGCTCAAGGGCTCTGTGGAGTCAAGGGCTCCCCAAGGGCACCCTAGCCCTCATCCACAGCTGTCCCTTCTCTCCTAGAGGCTGGATCAGGCAGCAGAT